AGAATTGCACATTTTAGGGAGTTTTGATCAATTCCGACGAAATTAGAATTAAAAAATCAAAAATTTTTCGCGCGCATTTTTATTAATGTTAAAGCTTGTGCTTGCTCTCCTTTGCATTCTAAGTTGTAACACATAGTCCCAAACTCAAAAAAAGAAAATTTAAGATAGATCGTTTTACCTAAAAGAGGGGCCTCAATGTGTAATGATGTTGAAGGAATATATTTGTAATAAATAAAGCTAGCCATAAGGAAAATGCTTATATTCAGTTTAAAAAAACGAATGTGGCCATATATAACATAAGAGCATTTCTTGTTGAGGTAGGCCAATTTCCTCTAAAAAATTTTCGCGCGCTTCGCGCATTTTTAAATCTTCAGGTGCTTGCTCTCTTTAGCCTTCGAAGTTATAACACATATTCCCAAACTCAAGAAAGAAAATTTAAGATAGATCGTTTTACCTAAAAGAAGGGCCTCAAGGTGTAATGATATTGAAAGAATATGTTTGTAATAAATAAAGCCATATGGAAAATGCTTATATTCAGTTAAAAAAATATATAACATAAGAGCATTTCTTGTTGAGGTAGGCCAATTTCCTCTAAAAATTGCACATTAGGGAGTTTTGATCAATTCCGACGAAATTAGAATTAAAAACACAAAAATTTTTCGCACGCTTCACGCGCGTTTGTTATGGTTAAACCTTGTGCTTGCCCTCCTTTACCTTCTAAGTTATTTAAAAACATAATAGTCCCAAACTTGAGAAAGAAAATTTAAGATAGATCGTTTTACCTAAAAGAAGGGCCTCAATGTGTAATGAAGGTGAAAGAATAGGCAGAATAGGCCTATGATTGTAATAAATAAAACCACGATGAAAATGCTTATATTTAGTTTCAAACACACGTGTGTGGCCTATATTAATAATAAAATAAGCCCTATGTCATATTGTTTTTTTTATATGGGGGGGGGGGGGTTCACACCAAGTCATAAATTACTAACCAGGAAAATTATTACCTTTGCCCCCCCCCCACCGATCCAAGACCCCTGTTGCGCGCCTTCTTATATAAGTGGGCCCCCCCACTTTCAAAAACGTTCCGCCGGCCCTGCATACAACAAGACATTGTTTGGTAACAAAAGACCCTTCCTATGGTCATTTATGTCAATATGCTAGGCTATACAATATTTCATCGAGTCTGTCAAAACAAACAGACCAACTGCGCGTCACATTCAAGTTCAACTTTAGGTTAACTTCGGTAGGCGGAGCTTCGAAGTCGAAACTGGCTCAACATAACCTATTAAAAATCACTTTTTGACAAAATGCAGAAATAAATGATAAACAGCAACAAGGTATTTCTTTGTTATCATATACTATACTATAAATTAATAACAAAGAGGGATTTCTTTGTTATCATATACTTTATTAATTTACAATAATTTGAAGCAAAATAGTTTTCATCACCCTTGTTATTCTTTAACTACTAGATTTACTTCAAAGCAAAAAACTAATTTTTACCATTGCCCTGAACTCTGAAACAAATTAGGCCTACTGTATCAAATTATATTACAAATTTAAGGTATGTATGTATTTAAATCAGCCTGTAAAAAACATTCCTTGCAATTCACATGATCTTTTTTTCGCCCGTACTTGCTTGATCCACTTAAGTTACAGTATTTATGCTTCCGTATTGGGAAATATTATTATTATAGGCCTAAAAAAATAATTTTTCTTACACTTTTCACCTGTTTAAAAACTGCAGAGCCTACTATTTCAAAGCTTTAACATTTTTTTCTTTGACTTCGTTCCTTGTCCTTATTATATTTTTTGTTATTACTTAGGCCTAGTAATGATATTTTTGTTAAGCCCTAGGAAGGCTGTACCAGGCATATAGATAGGCCTAGTAGTAGCCTGAAAATATATAAATTGAAAACAGCAGTTTACAATTTTGTTTTAAATTTGGCCATAATATTACAATGTTGTTTTCTACCGACCCAGAAGTTACAGGCAAGTAGGGACAGCCTAGTGAACAGACCAATGAGGGTTAAGTCTAGGACTAGGCTAATCTAGCCAAACAAGGGATGGGTGCTAGGTCTAGGGGCCTCATTAGGCCTAGCCTAAGTCTAGGAGGACTAGTCTGACTGTCTGACCTGAGGCCTAGCTCCATTAGGCTAGCAGTAGCTAGGCTTGGGCCTAGGTAGCCTAGGCCTAGGCCTATATACTGATCTGATAATTCAGATTGTCAATAAAAGGCAAATGACGTTACATTAGTTAGGCCTAGCATTTAATATTCAGTATTCTTACCCTCGAAGTGATAAGTATATCGAAAAAATGTAGGCCTCCTTCCTAGGCTAGTAAAGTGACTTTCTCTAGATGTATCGTGTGGAGAATTCTCGTGTGGTAGTACAACAGAAAGCCGTCAACGCGCGCCTCCTGAACTGCTCTGGCGAGCAAATGTCTAGCCTCAGCCTAGCCGTTGTGTGTGGATAGATGACATAGGCCTACAGCAAACAACCATTACCTTCATCAGAAAATCTGTAGAAAATATTATTATAGCGCCACCAAATTTCGTCAAAAAAAAAAACCATGCTGGATCTCGGTAGAGTTTTGGAAAGCAACAACTCACTGAGTGTAAAATGTTAATAAAGTTAATGGCCAGAATGAAAATTGAAGAAGACGTTAAGATGTCGACATGGTAGACTTAAAACACAAGATGCGTGATGAATATAATAATAATATAATAATAATAATTACTTTATTTAAACACGGAAAAACTTGATCACCCAAGGGTGTTTTTCATCAAGGCCGTGCAAGGCCATAAGTGGTAAAATATAAAAATACAAAATACATAACAAAAGTATAAATATTATAGGATTGGATAAGTAATAAATGTGATTAAAATGTGAAATTAAATAGTATATTTAGTTTAAGATAAATCAAAAACATATACATTAATTAATTTAAAATACATACAGTAATTGATTAATTTAATATCAGAAGTTAGATTAGATTAATGATTTCTTTAAATTTATTAATATTTGCTGAATTTCTATACTCATCATTTAAATTATTCCATAACTTAGCACCATGGTAAGTTAAACTTCTTTTTTTATATTCTGTTTTAGGTTTTTCAGTATATAAGACATCCATGGTTCTTGTATTGTATTGTGGATTTCTTAAGGTAAATCTGTTCCTAAGATATGATGGTGCTAAACCATGAAATATTTTAAACATAATAATAGCCTCATTGTAGAAGAGGTTTGTTTCAAGGTTTACCCATTTAAGATCCTGCAAGGCTTGGGAACTTGAGTCGTAACTTGTCTTTTTTAGGATAATCTTTGCTGCTCGGTTTTGAAGAACTTGTAATTTGTTAGTTAATGTTTTATTTGTTCTACCCTATACAACATTACAGTAATCAAAATGTGGGGCTATTAAAGGTTTGTACATCATATTTTGAAGGTGCTGGGGGTAATATTACAGGACTTTTTCAAATAGTATAAGCCAGGCAGGACCTTATTTTTAACATGATCTGTTTGTTTCTCCCAAGATAAATTTTCATCAATATACACGCCTAGATGTTTACAGCTTTGCACCCTATTTAAACGTTCACCATCAATGTTAATATTTAGATCTGCATCTGATAATTTTGCCAATTTCTTATGTGTGCCAATAAACATACACTCAGTCTTTCTTACATTTAAACTTAGTTTGTTACATGCTAACCAGTTTTTTATATTTCCTAGATCAATGTTAATTTTGTTGACAACATCCTCTATATCTTTAGATACATAATATAGAACTGTGTCATCAGTATACATACTAATTTTTACATGACAAATATGACTAGGTAAGTCGTTTATATACAAAATGAATAATAGTGGCCCTAGAATTGAACCTTGGGGTATTCCACACACAATGTCGTACTGATTTGAAAAAACACCATTTACATTCGTGATTTGAGTTCGATTATTAAGATAATGTTTAAACCATTTTATAACAGAGATATCAAGAGAATATTTATTTAGTTTGTCTATAAGAATTTTATGATTTACAGTGTCAAATGCTTTCTTTAAATCTATCATAACTAATCCAATGTATTTTCCAGAATCAATGGCACTATAAATCCAATCCTCTGTTACATTGATTAAAGCTGAAGTTGTGGAAAAACCTGGTCTAAAACCTGATTGATATTCGTAGATCATATTATTTAGATTTAAGAAAGGGTAAATTTGGTCAAACACAGCTCGTTCAAGAATTTTTGACAAGATCGGTAGTATTGAAATTGGTCTGTAATTACTAGGTTCTGTTTTGTCACCACCTTTAAAAATCGGACAAATTTTTGATCTCTTCCATTTTTTTGGAAACACACCAGTTGAAAGTGACAAGTTGATAAGATATGTTAGTGGACCAACAATAGTGTTTATTGATAACCTTATCAATTTAGCAGGGATATCATCAATCCCAGTTGTTTTATTTACAGACAAAGAAATTAGTTTCTTATAAACATATTCCTGATCCACTAAATTAAAATTGAAGATTTGGTCATTATCAACTATTAAACTTTCATTTAAGTCTGTCCTTTCTTTACCATCAGGAATATTTTCGGCTAAATTAGGTCCAACTTTTACAAAGTATTTATTTAATGTATTGGCAATTTTAGAAGGATCTGTTTCTATTCCTTTATCGGTTTTTAAGCTATTTATTTCTGTATTTTTAGTTTTTTTTGGTATTATAAGTCGTATGTTCTCCCATATTTTTTTAGAATCTTTAGTATTTAGTTGTTTGAAAAATATTCCCTTTTGCTATTTCTTATTTCGAAGTTAACTCTATTTTTTATTAATCTATAGTCATTCCATAGTTGAGATGATTCTTCTTTACTTGCTCTTTTCTTAGTCCTGTCACGCTCATGCATAAGCTGTAATACTTCTTTAGTTAACCAGGGGCTATTTTTATGCCTTACTCTTTTTTTCTTTGAATGTGCATGTAAATTTGCTATTGTTAGAAATTTATTTTCAAAATCATCTAGTGCATCGTCAACATTAAAATAAATAATAATTTCATGCCAGGGTACATTTTCCATATCTGACTTAAACTGGTTTTCATCAAAGTGTTTATATGTTCTACTAATTCTAAATTTATGATTATGTTTAATTTTTTCTTCTTTCCCAATTATTGCATATATAATGGAATGATCGCTCATTCCCATATGCAGAACACCAGAAGTTGATATTTTTTCAGGAAATGAAGAATAAATGTGATCAATGATAGTTCTGCTATTTTTAGTTATTCTTGTCGGTTCTGAAATTAACTGTTTTAAATGGAAATTTTTAGCAATTTCATTAATTCTTTGAGTGTAACATGTTGGATTGGCTGATAGTATATCACAATTCATATCGCCAATCATTATAATTTCTCTGTTTCCGCATTCAATATTTTCAAGCACATGTTCGACATATTCAAATAATTTGAGTTCTGAATTTGGAGGGCGGTACCAGGCTATAATCAAAATGGGCTTATTTTTTGGTTTTTTAATTTCAAGTATAATCATTTCTAGTTCATTGTGCATTAGGTCATATCTAACAGAGTGAGTAAAACCCCCATTATTATTTACATAAAAGGCAACTCCCCCTCCCTCTCTGTTTCTATCTTTTCTGTAAATATCATATCCATTAATGTTTAGAATGTTATCCGTGATTGAATTATTTAGGCGGGTTTAATTCAAAGCAACTATATCTATTGTATTGTTTAAAAGAAGATGTTTATGTTCATCAAATTTACCTGGAAGTGTCACAATATTAAGTCCAATTATACTTAACCCTTTGTTCATAAAAATCTTATGGTTTTCTGAAAAAATGTTAGAAGTACTTAGTGAAGTTTTGGATAGCTCATCATTTTTTCCGTTGATATTTGTTGAGTGTTTGTCCTTATTTAAAGTATTTAAAGTGTCCAAAGTAAATAACATTTCCAGGAGGAAGGATTCCTCATTATCGTTGATATATATTAGTCGGGTCTTCTTCAGCATGGTGTGACAGACTTCCTGGGAGCCAGTGGCAGTGGCGGCTCTGGATATATTTTCTGGGTGGGGGGGGGGCTAGTTGTCCGACAGGGGGACTTGAGCTCGTAGGCTCGAGCTGGGAGAAGTGGTTGGGAGGGTCCCCTTCCCAAATGAGATTTTTTTTAAAGAATATCAACCTCTAGATGGCCGAAATGGCACTCTCAGACTGTGACAGACATGACGTGTTGGCTTGCCTATTTTATATCTTTTAAGGTCTGACTGCCCGACGAGCTCTGTCCGGCGGGGGGTGGGGCTTGACCTGTCCGGTGGGGCTTAAGCCCCCCCCCCCCCCCCGGGGGGGCTTAAGCCCCCCCCCCCCCTGCCACTCCGCTGGCGCCGCCACTGCTGGGAGCCCGGAAGAAAAGTTGGCTATTACATTCATGATTTAAAGATAATATGATTGGTCAAAAATTTAAATAAAATATAATGTAAATAGGACAAAAATAGGTGGTGGAGTAATTATTAATTTTTGCTTAATTATTACTAGGGTCTATTGAATTAAGATAAGGAGGGCATTAGCTGGCTACGTCGAGACCGGGAATGAGCTAGTCCGATAAATCTGTTATTTCATCGGTAGGTCAAAACGGCAATAGGCCTACTAATAAACTATGGGGTGCCATACGCAGCAAAAGTCCATGTTAAAATCAAAATGTAATTGCAAAATTCAATGTCTAATTTATCAATTACGTAAATTTCTCAAAATGTAGATCTAGTTTCTCAAAATGGAGTTCTAATTTTTCAAAACGTAGTTCAAATTTTCCAAAATGTAGTTCTAATTTCTTTAAAATGTAATTCAAATTCAAAACGTAGGTCTGACCTGATCAAACGCACTCTCCAATTCTATTCCAAAACGTAAATTAAAAACCAGTCTGGTTTGAAATGCATTTAACAACACTACATGGACTTTTGCTGCGTATGGCACTAGATAGTACGGAAGCTGATAGTGACCTTCTAGATGTTCTCGTCATCTAATGATCTCTTCTAAAGGATGTACACATGACGAGATCCATGATCGTCATCTAATCATCTCATCTAAATGATGTAGGCCCTACACATGACGAGATCCAAGATCTCATCATCTAATCATCTCTTCTAAAGGATGTACATATGACGAGATCCATGATCCCGTCATCTAATCATCTCATCTAAAGGATGTACAAATGACGAGATCTTGGATCTTGTCATCTAATCATCTCTTCTAAAGGATGTACACATGACGAGATCCAAGACTCGTCATCTAATCATCTCTTGTAAAGGATGTAGACATGACGAGGTCCAAGATCTCGTCATGTGATCATCTCTTCTGAGGGATGTAGATATGATGCTGATCATCACTTCTAAGGGATGTAGACGTACATGATGAGATCAAGGATCTCGTCATCTGATCATCTCTTCTAAAAGATTTAGACATGTGATCATCTCTTCTGAAAAATGTAGACATGAGGAGATCCATAATCGCAACATTTAATCTTCTTTC